GGGCATCCGTGACAACAGCTTGATTACTTTTGAATCACATGTGCTTCTTTTCTCAAACTTCTTTCCAGCGCTTTAACGAGTGACTGTGTTTTTAAGTCTTCTATAAAATGGAGAGAAACGAAATTAAAGTAATCAAGATCAAAATTAAAATTATTATCAAAATAAAAATAACAAGTAAGGAAACGGAAAGGATAGATAAGACGCGGAGGAAGTGTTACATGCCGAAGGTAAAGCCCTAGATTAAGAGACTATTAGAACACTTGAATTAGAGTATAACATGCGTTATGAGGAAAAATGCATCCCTGCCGCAGAATGCATACCGGTGTTCCGACGAGTTGAGCTTTTAGGGTTTTTTGGGGGGTTAGGGTTTTAGGTTTTTTTTGGGGGGATAGGGTTTTACGGGTTTTTTGGGGATTAGGGTAAGGGATAGGGCTATCAATTAGCACTACGGTAGCCTAACTCGACAAAGTAGCTCAACTCGTTTCAGATCAGTGACCAATCTGTCCGTGCAATATGGCGTGCTAAGGGAGGGTGCTGGATGAAATCGTATATGCTGCCGCTTAGGAGGGGGGGTTGTTTCGCATACACCACAGTGTGAATTAGGACTATTGCTGGTTTGCTTGTGGATATACCTTTAATACCCACAGAGGTTCAATACAATATCAATAACCTCTCCTTGTCTTAAAACAGAATACTGCTGGACTAATGGGCTATGGCCGGGGACGGCGAAGCACGGACTTCCATGGCTCCAGTGACCGGCGACCTGAGAGGGGCCAGGGGCAGCCTCAGCAATCCGCCAGGAGTAATAGATTAATAATGGGCTACGGCCGGGGACGGCTTATTAATAGAGATGTCGTTTAAGTGTTGGTAGGTAAATTAGATAAGCTAAGGTAGGTAAGTTAGATAAGCTAAGGTAGGTAAGTTAGATAAGCTAAGGTAGGTAAGTTAGATAAGTTGACTCTCCCTGCCAGCCCCTGGAGGATGGGCTCCCCCTTTGAGTCTGGTCCCTCCCAAGGTTTCTTCCTAATAGGGAGTTTTTCCTTGCCACTGTCGCCTATGTATGGCTTACTCACTGGGGGCTTTGGGTGGGGATGCTGTAAAGCTCTTTGAGACGGTGTAATGTGATATTGTGCTATACAAAAGTAAATTTGTTTGTAGATATGCTAGGATAAGATATGCTAGGATATGAGCTTTACAATAAAACATATATACAATATTTGTGTCTTTGTTGTCTCTTTTGTGCTTTGTCTGTCTTGGTTTGAAAATCTTGCATCGT